ATTCTACTCGAGCGTGCCTNCGTGGCTCGAGAAATCACATTGTTGAATCCGGTTTGGATCCATTCGAAGAACACAGGTAAACCCTTTTACGCAATTCTACATAGGATCGACGTTGGAGTTGTTATTGATTTAGAGCCAGCTAGAACCGAAGATCCAGCGCTTTCTATCGCCGGTGCGGTCCAATCGCAGAAACTCGCGGTTCGTGCGATTTCGCAGTTACAATCGCTTCCCGGTGGAGATATTAAGCTTCTTTGTGACACTGTTGTGGAAAGCGTGAGAGACTTGACTGGATACGACCGTGTAATGGTCTACAAGTTTCACGAAGACGAGCATGGAGAAGTTGTAGCTGAGAGTAAGCGAGATGATTTGGAGCCTTACATTGGTCTGCATTATCCAGCAACTGATATTCCTCAAGCTTCACGGTTCTTGTTTAAGCAGAACCGTGTCCGAATGATTGTAGATTGCCACGCCACGCCGGTTCTTGTGGTCCAAGACGATAGGCTCACTCAATCTATGTGCTTGGTTGGTTCTACTCTTAGGGCTCCTCATGGTTGTCATTCTCAGTATATGGCTAATATGGGATCTATTGCATCTTTAGCAATGGCGGTTATAATAAATGGTAATGAAGAAGACGGGAGCAATGTCGCTGGTGGGAGAAACTCGATGAGGCTATGGGGTTTAGTTGTTTGTCATCACACCTCTTCCCGCTGCATACCTTTTCCTTTAAGGTATGCTTGTGAGTTTCTAATGCAAGCATTCGGTTTACAGTTAAACATGGAATTGCAGTTAGCATTGCAAATGTCAGAAAAACGCGTTTTGAGAACGCAGACATTGTTATGCGATATGCTTCTGCGTGACTCTCCTGCTGGAATTGTTACACAAAGTCCTAGTATCATGGACTTAGTGAAATGCGACGGTGCAGCGTTTCTTTACGATGGGAAGTATTACCCATTGGGTGTTGCGCCTACTGAAGTTCAGATAAAAGACATTGTGGAGTGGTTGCTTGCGAATCATGCGGATTCGACAGGATTAAGCACGGATAGTTTAGGCGATGCAGGATATCCCGGTGCAGCTGCTTTAGGGGATGCTGTGTGCGGTATGGCGGTTGCGTATATCACAAAAAGAGATTTTCTTTTCTGGTTCCGTTCTCATACTGCGAAAGAGATCAAATGGGGAGGCGCTAAGCATCATCCCGATGATAAAGATGATGGGCAAAGGATGCATCCTCGTTCGTCCTTCAAGGCTTTTCTCGAAGTTGTTAAGAGCCGGAGTCAGCCATGGGAAACTGCAGAAATGGATGCGATTCACTCGCTCCAGCTTATTCTAAGAGACTCTTTTAAAGAATCTGAGGCAGCTACGAAATCTAAAACTGGAGATGGTGCGGTTCAGCCATGTAGAGATATGGTAGGAGAGCAGGGGATTGATGAGTTAGGTGCAGTTGCAAGAGAGATGGTTAGGCTCATCGAAACCGCAACTGTACCTATATTCGCTGTGGACGCTGGAGGCTGCATCAATGGATGGAATGCTAAGATAGCAGAATTGACAGGTCTCTCAGTCGAAGAAGCTATGGGAAAATCTCTTGTTTCTGATCTAATATACAAAGAGAATGAGGAAACTGTCAATAAGCTTCTTTCTCGTGCTCTTAGAGGTATATTCAATTCCCCAACTATGTTGTATATGCGGTATATATACAATTCGCGGATGTTGATCATTTTGTTGCATTTGGCAATCAGGGGACGAGGACAAGAATGTGGAGGTAAAGCTGAAAACTTTCAGCCCCGAACTTCAAGGGAAAGCTGTTTTTGTGGTTGTGAATGCGTGTTCAAGCAAGGACTACTTGAACAACATTGTTGGTGTTTGCTTTGTCGCACAAGACGTTACTGGTCAGAAAATCGTAATGGACAAGTTCATCAACATACAAGGCGACTACAAGGCCATTGTCCACAGCCCAAACCCGCTTATTCCACCGATCTTTGCTGCAGACGAGAATACATGCTGCTTGGAGTGGAACACCGCGATGGAAAAGCTTACGGGTTGGTCTCGCGGTGAAGTTATTGGGAAAATGCTTGTTGGGGAAGTGTTTGGGAGCTGTTGCAGGCTAAAGGGTCCTGATGCTTTAACCAAGTTCATGATTGTATTGCATAATGCGACTGGTAGCCAAGAGACGGATCAGTTCCCCTTCCCATTCTTTGACCGCAACGGGAAGTTTGTTCAGGCTCTATTGACTGCAAACAAGCGGGTTAGCCTCGATGGAAAGGTCATTGGGGCTTTCTGTTTCTTGCAGATACCGAGTCCTGAGCTCCAACAAGCTTTAGCAATCCAACGGAGGCAGGACATAGAGTCTTTCACAAAGGTGAAAGAGTTATCTTACATTTGTCAGGTGATAAAGAATCCTTTGAGTGGTTTGCGTTTCGCAAACTCATTGTTGGAGGCCACAGACTTGAACGAGGATCAGAAGCAGTTTCTTGAAACGAGTGTTTCTTGCGAGAAACAGATCTCGAGGATCGTCAGTGACATGGATCTTGAAAGCATTGAAGATGGGTGAGTTTATTTAGAAATCTCTAAAAATAGTTTTGTTTAACTTCAAAATGTGACCAAATCTCAAATTTTGTTTTGAAATTTGATCAGTTCGTTTGAGCTAAAGAGAGCGGAGTTTTTCCTTGGAAGTGTCATAAATGCGATTGTAAGCCAAGCGATGTTCTTATTAAGGGAGAGGGGTCTTCAGCTGATCCGTGACATTCCCGAAGAGATAAAATCGATAGCTGTTTATGGAGACCAGACAAGGATTCAACAGTTCCTGGCTGAGTTTCTGCTGAGTATAGTCCGGTATGCACCATCTCAAGAGTGGGTGGAGATCCATCTTAGCCAAAGTTCAAAGCAAATGGCTGATGGAATCTCTGCTATCCGCACAGTATTCAGGTACATTTCATTGTTCCACTGTTGTCCCTCATGCCTGTAACTGTAATTTGGTGATCCGGTTTATGTTCGGTTTTGGCTTAGTTTTTCAGTTCCCATACTTTTAGTCTTATGAACAAACCGAATGTTGGCTAGATATGAATTTGGCTTCAGCTTTTCTAAACAAAATACATTTTATGTCAAAGGATTTTCAAATAAATCGAGCTTTTGATCGGTTCATTTTCTTTTCGAGTTTTTGTTACTGTTTGTTCGGCTATGGAAAGAATGAAACTGTTTGGTTTATTTCCTGTTTGGTTCGTTTTTTGGATCAATAATGTTGGTGCTGAAACCTGATCGGGCATCATCCTAGGCAGCCAAGCACACGGATTGTAATGTTTTCAAAATGATTAAAAACCGGCTCAAAAGTGTTAAACTTTGGTTTCTCTGTAATGTATTTATCTTCTTTTGCTGGTTTCAGAATGGCATGCCCAGGTGAAGGTTTGCCTCCAGAGCTGGTACGAGACATGTTCCATAGCAGCAGGTGGACGAGCCCTGAAGGGTTGGGTCTAAGCGTATGTCGAAAGATTCTGAAGCTCATGAACGGTGAGGTTCAATATATCCGAGAGTCAGAACGCTCCTATTTCCTCATCATTCTCGAACTTCCCGTTCCTTTGAAACGCCCTTTGTCAACCGCTAGTGGCAGTGGCGACATGATGTTGATGATGCCATATTAGTCACACATAAGTTGGCAATAGAGTTTGTATCAT